TGGCACTCAAACATTTTGGCCGCAGACCTTGGACATTCCAACAGCACTCAGCACGCGCCACCCAAGAACGGTTACAAAATGAGGTTCCTCGTTTCATTTCCAGCGCACGGCGGCCATCAAAATCTCCGGATACCAATCCGTTGGACTATTATGTCTGGGATATTTTGAAAAGCAAGGTTGGTACTAAAAAATACCAAAGTGTCGATCACCTCACGGGAATGGACCAACATACCGCAGAGCAAAATTCGGGCAGCGTGTGGCGGTTTCATTGGTCGTTTGAAGGCCATAATTCGTGGCAAAGGTCACCAATTCGAACATATCTAAACTCACTCTAAAATTTGATGCTATTTCCGACATTTTTTTCATTCAATAAAATTAAAAAATATGGCGTTTGACTTTGTTGTAGTTTTTTTTTACCTCGCCCTGTATAGCTTTCCATATGCTGAAATTACCTATTTTAGGATACGTATATCGACTTTCCAATAATGAAAGTTGGGAGTTAAATTTTTTGCCAGTGGTAATTATTGGAAAATATTTTTGTAATCGATTTTTGATTTTGATATGGCTTTCCATTTTTATAACAGCCAAGAGATAAGCCTAAATTTACTTGATTTTACTTTTAATTTTATTTGTTATTTTTAAATTTCCATAAATACTCGAAAAATCCATTTGGTGCGTATGAGTTATAACGATACGTATACCACATGTGGTTCATGCAGTCATATTCGGTTTTGTTTCAACTACAAACAAAAGTTATTAACATAGTATTTTTATTGCATTTCCCACTTATCCTTTGTTTTCCAAAGGAATCCATTTCATTAAAATACTAGCGAATTATTTTTATTATTTTCTTTTGTATAATATTTGCTACTTTATGAGAAAAAATTCCTCTGGGGCCCGCAATAAAAGATGCAGAAATTTTAGTTGGCTGTACTGTCACAGAAATGCATTATGGGTTGAAGGGAATTTCTCGATTATCTGTGGGTGGCCTCTGTTGTTAATACCGAGATTTATGCCATTACATTGCAGAAAAAAAAAACAAATATTTAAAAAAATAATAATAATAATTGCAGAGCGTTGGGTATGAAGAATGTTTCATGGAAATCTTGCTGATGTCATATCTCAGATGCAAGGATATTTGTGGACATTGTTTTAAACCTTTTTTCGGGGAAATTCAGTAAAAGGCTATTTCTGAAGTATTTTCAGAAATTTTCAAGCATTAGGTATTATAAATTGAATTAAAAATGTAAAATTATATAATTAAGAGCATGTGACCGGAAGTCCTTATTAAAATTTTGGATTCGTTACAAGAGTTCGTTTTAGGCCTTTTTAGTACTCAAAATGCACAATTTGTTCAGTTTAAAATATTTTAATTAAAAATTAGTACCATTTAGAACACATTGCAAAACCACAACCAGATATCAACGGATACCTCAATATAAAATTTCAGGATTCAAGATCTATCCGCCAAATTTAGTATTATGTAATACTTTTCAACCACAGACACCAACAGTGAAAGTCATGTCAATTTTCAAAACAATCTCAGGTACCTACAGTTATCAAAATATCAAATTTCAGAATTTTTTCTTTATTCCTTTATCCAATACCAAATTTAGTGCTATTTGTGACTTTTCGTACAGTTGTAGTACACATTTCGAAAACTACCTCCATATTTCAATTTCAGATACCAATAGAGAGCAAAATTTGAGAGTGCCAGCCCTATTCCTTCACCCAATACCAATTTTAGTACTATTTAGTACTTTTCTTACAATTATAGTGCATATTTCCAAAACGATCTAACTATACCAATTCCAGGAACCAACAGAGAGTTCAATATTAAATTTGGGAATTCCAGCCCCATTCCTTCACCCAATACCAAATTTGGTACAATTTGGTACTTTTTGTACAATTGTAGTTCACGTTTCCAAAACCAGCTCAACTTCTCAAATTTCAAATGCCAACAGGGACATTAATATCAAATTTAAGGATTCCAGCTCTATTCCTTCACCCAATACCAAAATATGTACCATTTAGTACTTTTCGTACAATTACTTATAGTACACATTTCTGAAACCACCTCCATATGTTCAGGCAACACATGAACAGCGAACCTAATACCAAATTACATATTTCAAACAAAACGTAGATTTTTTTAAAGAATATTTTTTCAAGGACCAAATAAACGTAGATTTTTTTAAAGAATATTTTTTCAAGGACCAAATAAACATGGATTTTTTAAGAATATTTTTCAAGGACAATGAACGTGGATTTTCTTAAGAATATTTTTCAAGCATCAAATTAACGTGGATCTTCTTATGAATTTTTTTCAAGCATCAAATTAACGTGCAATTTTTAAGATTATTATTTTTCAAGGACAAAAATAGAAGTGGATTTTTTAAGGACATTTTTTCAAGGACCAAATAAATGTGGATTTTTTAAAGAATATTTTGGTAATTTTTTTCAAGGACCCAATAAACGTGGATTTTTTTGAAGAATATTTTGTTAAGAATATTTTTTTCAAGGACCCAATAAACGTGGATTTTTTTTAAAGAATATTTTGTTAAGAATATTTTTTTAAGGACCCAATTAACGTGGATTTTTTAAAGAATATTTTGTTAAGAATATTTTTTTCAAGGACAAAATAAACGTGGATTTTTTTAAAGAATATTTTGTTAAGAATATTTTTTTTAAGGACCCAATAAACGTGGATTTTTTAAAGAATATTTTTTAAGAATATTTTTTTCAAGGACCCAATAAACGTGGATTTTTTTAAAGAATGTTTTGTTAAGAATATTTTTTTCAAGGACCCAATAAACGTGGATTTTTTTAAAGAATATTTTGTTAAGAATATTTTTTTTCAAGGACCCAATAAACGTGGATTTTTTTAAAGAATATTTTGTTAAGAATATTTTTTTTCAAGGACCCAATAAACGTGGATTTTTTTAAAGAATATTTTGTTAAGAATATTTTTTTTCAAGGATCCAATAAACATGGTTTTTTTTAAAGAATATTTTGTTAAGAATATTTTTTTCAAGGACCCAATAAACGTGGATTTTTTTAAAGAATATTTTTTTTTCAAGGACCCAATAAACGTGGATTTTTTTAAAGAATATTTTGTTAAGAATATTTTTTTTCAAGGACCCAATAAACGTGGATTTTTTTAAAGAATATTTTTTTAAGAATATTTTTTTTTAAGGATCCAATAAACGTGGATTTTTTAAAGAATATTTTGTCAAGAATATTTTTTTCAAGGCCCCAATAAACGTGGATTTTTTAAAGAATATTTTGTTAAGAATATTTATTTCAAGGACCCAATAAACGTGGATTTTTTAAAGAATATTTTGTCAAGAATATTTTTTTCAAGGCCCCAATAAACGTGGATTTTTTAAAGAATATTTTGTCAAGAATATTTTTTTCAAGGCCCCAATAAACGTGGATTTTTTAAAGAATATATTTTTAAGGACCAACCTAACGAATATTTTTCTAAAGATTATTTTTTCAAGGACCCAATAAACGTGGATTTTTTTAAAGAATATTTTTTCAAGGACCAAAGTAACGAATATTTTTCTAAAGATTATTTTTTCAAGGACCCAATAAACGTGGATTTTTTTAAAGAATATTTTTTTCAAGGACCAAAGTAACGAATATTTTTCTAAAGATTATTTTTTCAAGGACCCAATAAGCGTGGATTTTTTTAAAGAATATTTTTTCAAGGACCAAAGTAACGAATATTTTTCTAAAGATTATTTTTTCAAGGACCCAATAAACGTGGATTTTTTTAAAGAATATTTTTTCAAGGACCAAAGTAACGAATATTTTTCTAAAGATTATTTTTTCAAGGACCCAATAAACGTGGATTTTTTTAAATAATAGTTTTTCAAGGACCAAAGTAACGAATATTTTTCTAAAGATTATTTTTTCAAGGACCCAATAAACGTGGATTTTTTTAAAGAATATTTTTTCAAGGACCAACCTAACGAATATTTTTCTAAAGATTATTTTTTCAAGGACCCAATAAACGTGGATTTTTTTTAAAGAATATATTTTCGAGGACCAAAGTAACGAATATTTTTCTAAAGATTATTTTTTCAAGGACCCAATTAACGTGGATTTTTTTAAAGAATATTTTTTCAAGGACCAAAGTTACTAATATTTTTTTAAAGATTATTTTCTCAAGGACCAAAAAAATGTTAATTTAATAAAGAAGTGGATTTTTTTAAGGACATTTTTCAAGAATCAAAAAAACGTGAATTTTTTAAAGATATTTTTCAAGGACCAAAAAAATTTGATTTAATAAAGAAGATTTTTTCAAGGACCAAAAAATGTTAATAAAGAAGATTTTTTAAGGGTCAAATAAACGTGTATATTTTCAATTATTTTTTTTTTTTTAGAACCAAATAAGCGTTGATTTGTTAAATAATATTTTTTTTTTCATGGACAAAATGACTGTGGATTTTTTAAGAATATTTTTTTCAGGGACCAAATAAATGTTTATTTTTTAAAAAATATTTTTTTCATGGACCAAATAATTGTGGATTTTGTAAGGAATATATTTTCAAGGACCAAATAAACGTGGATTTTTTAAAGAATATTTCCAGGACCAAATTAACTAGTGTTTTAAATAATATTTTTTCAAGGATCATATCTTAGATTTTGTAAAGAATATATTTTCTTGGATCAAGAAAAATTTTAGACTTTGTAAAAAATATTTTTTCAAGAAAAGTGGATTTTTTAAGGACATATTTTTTTAAGTTTTTTCAAGAACCAAATTTTTGAATTTTTTAGAGGCATATTTTTTAACTTTTTTTCAGGGACCAAAATACCATGAAATGTGGATTTTCTAAAGAATACTTTTCAAGGATCAAAAGACCAACCAGTCAATTACTTTATTATTTTATTAACATCGATTATTTGAATATTTTTATTAATTACTATAATTATATTTCTTTATAATTATTATTAAAATATATTTAATTTGAAGAAAAAATTTCAAAACTCACCTTTAAAGCAGCACTTTTTAATACGTATCGCATAAATGCACAGACATATCAGAAGGAATAGGGCGGCCAAACAGCCGCCTGCGATGCCCAATAAATAACTCATTTCCAGAGGTTCTGTGGTGGATGACAAAAGCAATACACCATTAGCACACATGCGTGTGTGTGTGTGAGAGGGTATTATTGGCCAATAGAAATTCCGTAATTGTCGACAGCATTAACATGCATTTGGAAATTTTTTTTCCGTATGGCAGTGATGATGATGATTGTTGTTGTTATTATTATCAATTTTTTGTTGTTGTATAATTGAATTTATATTTAATTCACAAAGATGTTTCGTTGTTGTTGTTGTTTTTCGTTGGTATTTACATAAATTGATGACACGTTTTTTCCATTTTCCAAATAGTAACCAGATCAGATGAGATTATCGTTAATGTTGCATTGTCATGGCCGGAGCGTGTGAATGGTCATCGTCGTCATAGTCGTCATCATCATCATCATCATAATTATCATCATCGAAATGACATTGTGTTGCATTTCGAAAACGGAAAAATAAATATTGAAAGAAAAAAAGCAACAAACAAATTATTTAATATGATTGCAGGAAAAAAAGCTATGCTATTAATAGACATCTATACACGCACAGAGTTACACAAACACATCAATATTTATATATGTCGGTATATGAATATTATGCATGTGGTGGTTAAATTAGTTATGTATTGTGTTGATGGTTAGTGTTTTATATATATGAGACAATTGTTTAAAGCATGCTTGTTATTTTATTTTTGTATAAACAATAACAATTAAATGTTTAATTTAATTAACCCATTGAGGAATGGGCGAAAATTTAAATTTTGGAAAAGTAAAATATAAATTTTTTTCTCTAAGATTAGTTTTTCAGATACTTTTTCAAATGAATGTGGATTTTTTTTAAAGAATATTTCTTCAAGGACCAAAAAAAGGCGGAATTTTTAAAGAATATTTTTTCAAGGACCAAAATATGAACAAACGTGGGTTTTTTAAATAATCTTTTTTCAAGGACCAAAATATCAGCAAACGTGGATTTTTTAAAGAATATTTTTTCAAGGACCAAAATATCAGCAAACGTGGATTTTTTAAAGAATATTTTTTCAAGGACCAAAATATCAACAAACGTGGATTTTTTGAACGAATATTTTTTCAAGGACCAAAATATCAACAAACGTGGATTTTTTGAACGAATATTTTTTCAAGGACCAAAATATCAACAAACGTGGATTTTTTGAACGAATATTTTTTCAAGGACCAAAATATCAACAAACGTGGATTTTTTAAGGAATATTTTTTCAAGGACCAAAATATCAACAAACGTGGATTTTTTGAACGAATATTTTTTCAAGGATCAAAATATCAACAAACGTGAATTTTTTGATAGAATATTTTTTCAAGAACTAAAATATCAACAAACGTAAATTTTTTTAAGAATATTTCAAGAACCAAAATATCAACAAATATGGATTTTTTGAACGAATATTTTTTCAAGGACCTAAATATCAACAAACGTGGATTTTTTGATAGAATATTTTTTCAAGAACTAAAATATCAACAAACGTGAATTTTTTGAAAGAATATTTTTTTCAAGGACCAAAATATCAACAAAAGTCGATTTTTTTAAAGAATATTTCTTCAAGGACTAAAATATCAACAAACGTGAATTTTTCATAGAATATTTTTTCAAGGACCAAAATAGCAACAAACGTCGATTTTTTAAAGAATATTTTTTTAAGGACTAAAATATCAACAAATGTGGATTTTTTAAAGAATATTTTTAAGGACTAAAATATCAACAAAAGTCGATTTTTTTAAAGAATATTTTTTCAAGGACTAAAATATCAACAAACGTGGATTTTTCTAAGAATATTTTTTCAAGGACCATAAACGTGGGTTTTTATAAAGAATATATTTTCAAGGACCAAAAACGTGGGTTTTTATAAAGAATTTTTTATTCAAGGAACAAGAAACCATAGAATGTGCCGAAAAAACTATGTGTTTGTGAAGAATATTTTGAAGGACACGGGGATTTTTAAAGAATACTTTTCAATTATAAATTGGTCTTAAAATGTGGATTTTTTAAAGAATAGTTTTCAATGATCAATTGTCCTTAAAACATGGATTTTTTTAAAGAATATATTTCAAGGATCAATAGGCCTTTAAACGTGGATTTTTTAAAGAATATTTTTCAAGGATCCATCGGTCTTAAAACTTGGATTTTTTTAACGAATATTTTTCAACGATCAATTGGGCTTTTAAAGGATCAATAGGTCTTAAAACTTGGATTTTTTTAAAGAATATTTTTCAAAGATCAATAAGAATATTTTTAAGGATCAAGAGGTCTTTTAAAGGATCAATAGGTATTAAAACGTGGATTTTTTAACGAATATTTGTTAACGATCAATTGGCCTTAAAATGTGGATTTTTTAAAGAATATTTTTCAAGGATCTATAGGCCTTAAAATATGGATTTATAAATAATATTTTTCAAGGATCAATAGGCTTTAAAACGTGGAATTTTGAAGAATATTTTTCAAGGATCAATAGGCCTTAAAACGTGGATTTTTAAAGAATATTTTTAATGATCAAAAAGTGTAAAACTTTGATTAAACGAATATTTTTCAAGGATCAATAGGTCTTTTCAACGATCAATAAGAATATCAAGGATCAAGAGGTCTTTTTAAGGATCAATAGGTATTAAAACATGGATTTTTTAAAGAATATTTGTCAAGGATCAAAAGGACTAAAAACTTAGATTTTTAAAGAATATTTTTCAAGGATCAAGAGGCCTTAAAACTTGGACTTTTTAAACAATATATTTCAAGGGTCAATACACGTCAAAACGTGGATTTTTTAAAGAATATTTTTCAAGGATCAATAGGCCTTAAAAATTAGTTTTTTAAAGGAATATTTTTCCAGGATCAATTGTCCTTAAAACGTGGATTTTTTTAAGAATATTTTTTAAGGATCAATAGACCTTTTCAAGGTCTTAAAATTTGGATTTTTTAAAAATAATTTTTCAAAGGATCAATTGACCTTTTCAAGGATTCATAGGTTTTAAAACGTGGATTTTTTAAGGAACATTTTTCAAGGATCAATTGGCCTTAAAACGTGGATTTTTTTAAGAATATTTTTTAAGGATCAATAGACCTCTTCAAGGCCTTAAAATTTAGATTTTTTTAAAAATATTTTTCAAAGACCAAGAGGCCATAGCACGTAAATCTTCAAACGAATATTTGCAACTACCAAGATGCCATAAATCCTGGATTTTTTAAAAAATAGTTCTCAAGGACCAAGAGACCACACAAGTTGGAATTTTACAGAATATTTTTGGGGGAACTAGGGCTCATAAAAATAGAATTTTCTTTTGGGGCCAAGCTACCATAGAAGCGTGGAATTTTTTAAAGAATATTTTTCCAGGACGAAGATACCAAAAAAACAAGATTTTTAAAAAATATTTTTCAAGGATCAATAGACCATTAAAAGTTAATTTGTTAAAGATAATTTTTCTAAGAAACTAGGATTTTTAAAGAATAAGGATGTATGGGATATAAATCTTGTAGTTTTTTTTTATGACAAAAAATCCAAATTACATGGATGGTTTAAGGATATTTTTCTAAAAACAGTTGTGCGTTTTTAATGTAATTATTTTCAAGGATCAAACTAAGGATTTCAGTCCAAGAAAATATGAATATTTGTTTTTATGAATATTTTCATACACATTGCATATTATTATTATTTGGTGTCCTAAATTTGTTTCTACTCATTAGAGGACCACAAAGGTTGAAATCATTTGAGCTTATAAATAAATTTCCCAAATGTATTTATTTTAATTTTAATAATATTATTTAACATTTCCTTTTTTTTGCATATAAAAATTCCCATATTTACGTGTGTATTTATGAGTATCTCATTACGTGTTTTTATATTTAATGAGTATTTAACCCATCAATTAAATCCACAAAATTGAATTTACACACCCTCACTCACACACATACACCTATTTGAGCTTAGTTAACAAAAATTGAAAAAAAAAAACAAATGCCCAAAAATTGTTAATAACCTTGTCAATATTTTTCCGCATATTTAAACATAAAAGCTTACACAAATGATGCATGATTTTACATTTAAATGAGCGTATTTGTTCGTAGAATAATAATTATTGAAAATTATTTTTATAATCTTTGTGCGTGTATGTGTGGATTTAAGTAAATATCACTAATTTTATTTTAATTGCATTTTCATGGAAACGTATATAATATATGGGATTTTAATGTGATATGAAATTATATTAAATGTTATCATGGTAATGGTAAATATTTAAATATTTGAACTAAAATCCTCAATAAATTCGCTTCCATTCCCGAATTTACCATTTTAGGTATAGCATTGGAACAACCTATTTTTTCGGACAAGGTGATCGATTTCTTAGATAGTGTACAATATCAGAAATTGGTACTTAACAAATTATGTTTATTAATATTCAAAATGGTACCATTTTATTTTATGTGAACGGATAGAGCATGAAATTCGGTTTAAGGATTAACGTTGGAAATTGAAATTGATATATGAGAGATTTTTAAGGATATTTTGTCAAGGACGTGGATCTTTTGAAGAATTTGAAGAACTCAAGGATCATACAAAAATTGATTTAAAAAAAATATTTCTTCAAGGACCAAATAAACGTGAATTTTATTAAAAATAATATTTTCAAGGACCAAATAGCTATGTAATTTTTGAAGAATATTATTTTAAGGACCAAAACAAGTGGATTTTGTTTTACAAAATATTTCATCAAGGACAAATTGATCGTGAATTTTATTAAAAATGTTTTAAATAATATATTTGAAGGATCAATAGGCCTTAAAACGTGGATTTTTTAAAGAATATTTTTCAAAGACCAAGAGACCAAAAAAACAACGGAATTTGAAAGAATATTTTTCAAGGATCAATCAATCAATCGTGGATTTTTTAAGAATATTTTCCAGGGATCAATAGGTCTCAAAACGTGTATTTTTTGTGGTTCCTGTAGGTTTGTGATAGAGAGGTGGTTTTAGAAATACCACAAAAAGTACCAGATGGTACTATTTTTGGTACAATTCGGTATCAGGTAAACAGATAGTGCTTGAAAATTGTAATTTGGTATTACGATCGCTGTTCTTGTGTAACCTGCACAAATGGAAGTAGATTCGGAAATGTGTACTATAATTGTACGAAAAATACTAACTATTAACTAATAGTACTAAATTTGGTATTGGGCGAAGGGATAGGTCTAGAATAGTCAAATTTGATATGGATGTGACAGTTGGTATATGGAATTGGAATATGGAGGTGGGTTTGAAAATTTGTCCCATAATTGTACGACAAGTACTAAATGGAACTAAATTTGGTATTAGGTGAAGGTATAGATCTGAAATGCTGTAATTTGATATGTATGTCACTGTTAGTGTCTGTAATTGAGTGATGGAGGCAGCTATATAAATTTTCTACGAAAAGTACTAAATGGTACTAAATCTGGTATTGGTGGAAATTACAGATCTGAAATCCTGAAATTTGATATTGAGATCTCTCTTGGTATTTGGAATTCAGACAAGGAAGTGGTTTCGATAATGTGTACTATAATTGTACGAAAAATACTAAATTGTACTAAATTTGGTATTGGGTGAAGGGATAGAGCTAAAATCCTGATAACTGTTACCGATGCCACTGTTTGTATCTGGAATTGATATGTGGTAGTTGTCTTAGAATTGTGTACCTTAATTGTACGAAAAGTACTATATAGTACCAAACTTAGTATTGAGTGAAGGAATAGAGCTGAAATCCGGAAATTTGTTATTGGGGTCTGGAATTGGGATATGGAAGTGTTTTGGAAATGCGTACTAAATTTGGCATTGGGAGAAGGAATGAAGCCAAAATCCTGAAATTTTATATTGAGGCCTCTAATGGTATCTGGAATTGGATTTTGTAATTGGTTATGGAAGTGTGTACTATAGTTATAGGAAAAGTACTATATAGTACCAAATTTGGAATTGGGTGAAGGGATAAAGCTGAAATACTGAAATTTATGGCTGTCACAGTTGGTGTCTGTGATTGAGAAAAGGAGCTGGTTTCCCATGACATAAACACTTAACCACAGTGTTGTTAGATTTTGCTTATACCCTTCACCATATATAGAATGGTTCGTCATTCCATTTGTAACTCATCGAAATAATAATTTAGACCTAACAAAGTATATATATCAACGTAAAATTCTAAGACGATTTAGACCTGTCTTTTGCTCCATCTGTACGTCTTTTTTAATCTCGCTAGAGTCAAAACGAATTAAGATAGAAAGCTAAAATTGTGCACAGATCAGTCTTCTGCCTGCAGGCAAGTCAAGTTCGAAGATGGGCTATATCGGTCTAAGATATTGTATAGCCCCCCATATAACGGTACCTCCCGATATTCGGTATTTGAATGATTTTCTATGGAATTTCCTGAAATACTCTACAGCTCTTTAGGGGTACTCTACCTCCTGGAAAACATTTGTATATATAGGTCCACGATATAGTATATCCGCCATCGGTACCTCCCGATATTCGGTATTTTGATGATTGTAGCCAATTTTTTATTGGAATCGCCTGAAAGTACACACAAGGAGTTCCTTCTGAGTACTTTGTCCCTAAAAGAGAATTGTCTATACAAGTCCACGTTTTCGCATAGCTCCCATATAACGCTATCTCCCGATATTCGGCACTTTGATGATTTTAGCAATAGTTTTAATCGGAATTGTTTCAAATTTCGTATTTGAAGTTCCTTTATATATGCACTACCATCTATGACTGAAAATAGCACATGCAGGTCCATGTCTTCTTATAGCCCTTATATAACGGTACCTTCCATTATTTGGCATTTTGATGATTGTACCCAAATTTTTCAGTGGAATTGTCTGAAAATCCACTCAAGGATTTCATTTTGAATACTTTACCCCCTGAAGTAGAACTGTCTATATAGGTCCACTATATCGTATAACCCATACAACGGTTTGATGATATCAGCGACAGTATTCACCGGAATTCAAATTTCGTATTTGAAGTTCGTAATGGGCACTTCAACCTTTGACGGACAATTTTCTACGCAAATCCACATTTTGATATAGCCCACATACAACTGTTTCCATGTTAGAAGTATTTGTCGACGAGTTTTTTTTTTCAAAAATTTTCAAGTTCCTTCTCAATGGTGAAGGGTATGATATGTTTGTCCAGGTCGAACTTAGCTGCCTTTTTTCTTGTTTCATAACAAAAATTTGTGTCGAAATATCGTTATATGACTGAAACAGAAACACATAAAACTAATCGAATCTGGGTTTTTATTTTGTCTTATATTATGGTCATTATCGACACTATTGTCATGAACCGAATTTTATTTATGAATAACTTTTTGGACAATTTTTTTCAAAATACCGGATTTCTTTGACTATTTTAGAATATAGAGAGCGAATCTCGCTCGTATTCAAAAACCTTGCTTTTATCATAGACATTTGTTTCATCCGCATATTGAAATATTGAAAGGGGTGAGATAGAGGGTCAAATACTTCTGAAAAAATTTTCCTTTTTCGGTAGTACTCAAAATTATGACCTTCTGGTAAATATGTTATTGCAGAATTAAAAATATAAATCTTCAATATTTCTAATTTATTACATTGATATGCTTTTCGAAATATTCACATTAATTTATTTTTTGCACACCATTTCTACGAAGTAAGTGAAATGCTGTAACATATTTATTCACTTCCCGGAATTGTTCTCTTTGTTGTACGAAAAAATGCATATTATTATCGCACAATAAATCTTAATTAAATCTTGTTTACTTGATTATACATTTGTATGACTCCCTCCTCTTTGTGATTGTGTGCGTGTGTGTGTGTGAGTGTCATAATATTCATATGAGATTGCTTTGTCATGGATGTCATGCCGTGGCATTATAGCTAGACGTGCAATTTATGTATATTAAAAAATTCCTTTTGAAAAAGAATCTCTGCTTCACACACACACATGCAAGTATGAACAAACACACATGTGTGTGAGAGTGTCATTCATAGTGTGGCATTTGTTGGTTGCCGTTTTTTTTTTTTTTTTTTTTTTTTTTTGAAAAATTCAATGGTTAGCTGAAATTTGTATATACTACAACATAGCTGATGATGCATCACATACATACACATATACAGGCATAGGTAAACATACACACACATAGAAAGTTAGACGACAGACATTCAAGAGTGAGAGAGAGACAGAGAGAATAAAAAAACATGATTTTTCTGCACCTGTAAACGTACCCTCCACATTCAACTGTATGGCATGGCGATCGGTGCCACGTTCATTTTCCACAACCAGATAATAAGGACGTGCATCATGTTCGGTGGCATGATGGATGTGCAGGGTCGATAGATAGCAGTCCTCACGTGAATCTTGCAGTAAATCATCGGCACGAAAACGGTCTGAGGGGGAGATAAAAAAGTGGGAGAAAAAAAAAACAAAACAAAGAGAGCAGAGGAGAAAAAGAACAAATCAGGGAGCCAGAATAGAAGGATATCACCAGCATCCAGTCAAGGCAGCCACGAGAGGCGATTGACAAAAGTTAAATAGATGGATTGATGGATGAGTGGTAAAGTATCGGCATAGGTATTTTGTGATTGTGTGTGTTTTGATGAAATTGATTTGTATGGCAATTTCGGCGAAGTTTTCGTTGCATTTTTTTTTTGTTGCCAGGAAAAAGGACATCCCGTCATGATAATGCATGACATTGTACATTTTACCCAAGTCCATATTAAAATAATATGTCATAGTTGTAATCAATTCCATTACAATTCCAATTGACATAATTAAGGCCCGAACCAAAAAAAAAAAAAAAAAATACATCCGTCATCCAACCATCCAGCCATGCATCCGTTATTGAGAGAATGCCCGTGGTGTAGTGAGTTTTCCGTGAATTTTCCAAAATAGATGTCAGGTTATGTGGCCGAATGCCCGAGCATAGATTTCATAATGGCCAGCAGAGATATTTGGTTTATCAGGACAATGGCAATGATAATTATGATGATGATGAGGATGATGGTAGTGATGTCGATGATAATGATAATGATGATGATGTTCATCATTTTGATTTTCCAGGATAATTATTATTCGCATTTGTGGTGAAATGTTGTGTTGCAGGAATGTGGCCGCCAGAAATTCGTTAATTAGTGGTCGACATGTGGAATTATTTTTTGTGTTATTGTTGGTTTGGTGGTTGCGGTATGGGCAGGATGCAAGGACAATATTTGGTTTCGGGCATTACATGTGTCAGTCAGGCCAAAACAGCCCAAAGCATCAGCATGACCATTACATTTGGAGTCATCATCATCGTTATCATGACAGTCATCATGGATAAATATACGATTTTAAGCATCCATATATATGTGTGCCGAGAATGAAGGATTTCAATTTGGCAGGATATGAAATTTAATTCGTGTTATAATGCGAATGAAAAATTCATTTATTTAACATTAGATTGTCATTCATATGGCGCGGTCATTCAAACAGATGACATTTTTGGTTTGGGGGTAAACACAAATTTGCGAATTTCCATTTCATTTATTTTTTGTATCACCCAAAAAAAAAATTGCAGCCATCCCATGTTGTGTACAGGTTCCATTTGTGGTCCGCATAACATTCGTGTTGTCCAATGGCATAGCAAAAAAGAAATAAAATTTGAAAATTTTGTTGTGATTGCATTAGTTTTTGTTTTGGGAAATTTGATATAAGTGTGTGTGTGAGTGTGTTTGAGTCTTACCAATAGACGAACCAGCATCCAAACGCAGCGAACCCCATTCCCAGGCCACACGATGTGGCCGTGGATCGGCACACACAACCAATGTCAATGAGGCTGGATCACCTCTTTTCACGAGGACCGTGTGCATTGAGGGGTGTAAACGTAAAACCTGGGGAGCACCTGGATTGAAGAAGGAGAAAGGGAGAATAAAAAAAAATTGGGAGGTGATTACAATTTTTTAAAATAATGAGAGATTTTGAGGCCTATACGGCAAGCTAATGTATAACACAATATAGATATAAGATATTTTTTAAAATCGATTTTCTCGACATTTTGGTTCCACATATCTTTAAGGAGCCATCTCGAAAATTATAAAACACAATTCTAGCATGAATTAAACAGTGAAACATTTTTTTTGAATTTTTATTCCATACCCCCTACTTTTGTCGATAACTTCTTAAAATAATACCCATATTCGACGGACCCGTGTTTTTTTTTAAATCAAAGAAAAAAAATTGGCGGTTGGCAATGTGAATCATTTAATTTGTTCCAAGTAGATTTGTTGACATCAATTTTTGAATATGATATCTCTCAAATGGCCGCATCTGGCGTTGATGACGGATTGTGCCCTTTTTGCTGCATTTTCCATCGTTTTTGCCAACATTTCGGCCAGAATAGCAGCTATTTCTTCACGAATGTTGTCCTTGACTTGTTAACGTAAACCTTTGACTTCAAATATCCCCACAAGAAAAAGTCAGGCGGCGTCAAATCAGGCGAACGCGGTGGCCAGTCCAAATCACCACTTTTCGACATCAAACGACCCGGAAACAAATTGTTCAGAAAATCGATTGTTATGCGACTTGTGTGCGGTGGAGCGCCGTCTTGTTGAAACCAGAACTGCCTCATACGCTTTCGACGAATAATTGGCATCACAAAATTGGTCATCATGTCGCGACAACGCTCCTGATTGATGGTAACAGCATGGTCATTTTCATTTTGGAAGAAAAACGCCCCAATGACCGTTTTCGCACTAACGCCGCACCAAACTGTGACTTTTTCGTCATGAAAAGGCACTTCTTGAATCTCCTGAGGATTTCCAGTGGCGTAAAAACGGTAATTTCGCTTATTTACGGTCCCATTCAATGTGAAATGGGCTTCATCGGACATGATAATTTTGTTTCAAAATTGCTTGTCATATTCGGCCATTTCGATGACTCTTTGGGCCCATTCCAATCGACGAGGCTTGCCCGCAGGCAACATTCTTTGCGTCAATTGAATTTTGTACGGGAACAAATGCAAATCAATGCGAATAATCCTTTGTAAAGTGGACCGAGATATGCCCAACTGCTGAGAACGGCGTTTTTGGGATGTTCTTGGAGACCTCTCAACACTGGCTCGTACGGCAGCGATATTCTCGGCCTATCGCCTTGGTCGACTTGTATATGGCCTCTTCGGATTAGAAAGAGCCTTACCAGTCGAAAATTTTTCGTATAAACGCATAATGGTGTTCTTTGAAGGCACACTTCTCACATTTTTTAATGTTTTAAAGGCACGTTGAGTTTTCACAATTGACTTCTTCTGTTGAATGTAAATTTCAACTATTTCAGAGCGCTCGCGTGGCGTGTATTGGTTCATGGTAAAAATCTGCTTGGACTGACGCTTCAAACGCGGTATGTCATTAAGCGATGTGACATCTCTGTCAAAAGTTATGGCGTTGCCAGATGGGTACGTCGAATATGGGCAACCCTGTACATTTAGACCTCACTGTATATTCTAAATCAATGCGGAATTCTATGCCATTTGTCTACCTTTCAGTCCCTCTGTGGAAATCACATTTTTCTTGAATGTATTTCAAGTCTGAAGAATATTTAGTAATGAGAATGGGTCACATAGGTTGAATTTATGACATAAATCTACTTTATAGCAGTACATCTATTTCGGATGTTTAAGCCGTATACAGGGTTTGATTAAAAAACTGCAACAAAGTCAAACTCCATAATTTTTTGTATTTCTTTTTAATTTTATTGAATGAAAGCAAAAAAATGTCGGAAATAGCATCAAATTTCATAATAAGTTTAGATTTGTTCGAATTGGTCACCTTTGGCACAAATTATGGCCTTCAAATGGCCAATGAAACCGTCACAAGCTGCTCGAATGTTGCTCTGCGGGATTTTGGCCCACTTCGGGCGAAGCGCTGGCTTGAGGTGATCGAGACTTTGGAATTTTTTAGTGCCAATCTTGCTTTTCAAAAAGTACTCCAAACACAATAGTTCAACGGATTGGAATCCGGAGATTTTTGTGGCCATTGTGCGCTGGAAATGAAGCGAGGAACCTCATTTTGTAACCATTCTTGGGTGGTGCGTGCTGAGTGCAATGCTGCTGAGTCCTGTTGGAATGTCCAAGGTCTGCGGACAAAATGTTTGCGTGCCCACGGCTTTAATACACCCTCCAGAATATTTCTGCGATAATATTCGTCATTTGTTCTGATGCCACAGTCGATTAATACGAGCGGAGAGCGACCATCGGCTGTTACGGCGACCCACACCATCACCATGGACTGCGTTTGAGTTCTGGTGGCCAAACGAAGGTTCACATTTTCAGCTGACCTCTTTGGCAAGTAAACAGGATCACTTAGTTTGTTTGTTTTCTCATCGGAGAAAACCAAATTCGGCAGTTCAGCTCACGAGCCATTTTTCGGCCACTTAGACGCGGGTTGTCGATCAAGTCGCTTCTTTACTTTTTGACCCATTTCTGCTTATGTTGCTGTTTTCTTCCGTTCACTTCCTTGAAGTCGGGCTACGCTACCAGTATCACGGTAACGAGCGATGATTCGAGACTACTATCACGCTTGAATTCCATCGCGAATAACATTTTTTTCTGGAAAATTCTCACCAAAATGCTTTTGCACGCTTGTAAACAATATAATGAACTGTCACTGGAATAATTTAACAGCTGTCGGAGGAGTGGCTTAGAAATGACAGCAGTCTGAAATTGGTTGCAGTTTTTTCATCTCGCCCTGTATACCCTCAGCTAGTGTTCGATGTTTTTTTAAATATATTTTGACTTCTGTTACGATTATTCAAACTGTTGACCCTCCATGGAGTGGGTTCCGAAGGAATGGGCTTACATTGTCTATTTCGTGTCGGACCTAAATAAATATGATATAACTATTGCGACATGCCAGGTTTGGGCTATGTTGGTTACTTCCTTCACTTTATATATGTGATAATTTTTAGAAAATTGTTCGCAGATATATATCATCTCCAGAACCGAACTTTCTATAGAAAAAAAATCAGCCACAGTTCTTTCAGGATTTGTTCTATACAGAAAAAATTGGCTCAGGAAACTGAGAAAAAAATCTGCATCAATTTTAATGAAAATTTTTTTTCTCAGAATTTTTCTTCTATAGAAAAAAATCAGCCTCAGTTTCTTAAGTATTTTTTCTTTAAAGGAGAAAAATCAGCCTAAGTCTTCTGAAAAATTAGCCTCAGTTTCCTGAAGATTTTTTCTCACAGAAAAAATCGGGCTCAGTTTCCTGAGGATTTTTTCTCTACAGAAAAAATCGGCCTCAGTTTAATGAGGATTTTTTCTCTATAGAAAAAAACAGCCTCAGTTTATTGAGAATTTTTCCTCTATAGAAAAAAGTCAACCTCAGTTTTCTGAAGATTTTTTCTCTACAGAAAAAAATTAGCCTCAGTTTTCCGAAGATTTTTTTCTATAGAACAATATCAGCCTCAGTTTTCTAAAGATTTTTTCTCACAGAAAAAATGGGCCTCAGTTTAATGAGAATTTTTCTCTATAGAAAAAAAAAACATCCTCAGTTTACTGAGAATTTTTTCTCTATAGAAAAAAAACAGCCTCAGTTTTCTGCAGATTGTTTCTCTACAGAAAAAACAGTCTCAGATTCCTAAGGAGAATTTCTCTATAGAAAAAAATCTGCTTCAGTTTTCCGAAGATTTTTTTCTCTATAGAAAAAAAATCAGCCTCAATTTCCTGAGAATTGTGACCCTTTGTGGGTGGGTTTGTGACCAGAAGGCGTTCGCAGATATATATCATCTTTGCAACTGAATTCGGGGCTAGCTTAAATGTGTGTATGTGTGAAATTTGTGAAGAAGGTGTATTAAGTCTGAATGGAATCCCATGTGCCATTGATATTCAAAACTCTGACCCTTTGTGGGGAAGGTGCTAGAAATAGTAGATTGATACATTCAATCTGAACAGCCGATTTTGTGTTAATAGAAATAATGGGATGTGTAAAATGTTAAGAGAACTGCTGTCTACAATTTTTATAACAGATCTTGTGTCGATGGAAAAATTCAGATTTGCCAAGTCAAAATTATTTACTCTTTGTGAGGGAGGCACCAGGAAAGGGGACCATTTTTCAAGAACATGAAATATTTCTTCAATATCTAAAAATACCGAAATAACTTCCTTTTCTAACTAAGTTACCCAAATAGGTTAATATTATTTCATAACGAAATATCTTCTTAATACTTTTAAATCTTGTTTCCTTATAACCAAGAAAAATTCGCATTTAAATATTATTTCAGAATTTAAAAATCCCCAAGCATTCTGTGGCACATCATTTTCACATTTTGTTTTTATAAAATTTCCATGGAAATATGAGTAGAACTTGGCATTTCGTTCATTATATTTTATTCCTACTTCCCTCCCTACTCTCTCCACCAACCGTTCTTTGACACGCAGCAACAGAAAAATTCACGTGTACCACATACACCCGCCGCACGCAATTTTTTTGCACATTCCGTAATTTCAATTATTTTCTTCTGTGTTCTTTTTTGAGTTTTTTTTTTTTTTTTTTTGGTCAACTTACCAACAACTTGCAGTGAAACCGGATCGGATATGGCCACTCGTTCCTGGCCATTGATGTAATTTGTGGCATGGCATTCATATTCACCTTGATAGTCGTATGTCACGTTGTCGATGACCAAACGTGGTTCATTGCCACGTTCCACATATTTAGAGCCATGGGAAATGCTGCAAGGAGAAGAGAAGAGGAGAAAAAAAAAAAATGAAATACGGCATGAAAAAAAAATATTATTTTTTTGTATTAACGGAAAATTGGCTACAATTTGTTTGAAAGCTGGGCACATCTGAAATTGTCTTGAAATTCAATTGTTGTTTGGTGATTGAAGGAAAATAAAGAGATAAGAAATTTTCTTTTCATCAATGGTTTTTTTCAAGGAGGGAGAACAAAGAACTATTCTGCGATTAGGTCGTTAGAAATATAAAAATAAGCAACAAGGAAGTAATAAAAAAGTAAGTACCGAATATCTTATGACCTGTTTATTTAAGTAAATCCAAAAAGCCAAAGATCAAGAGTCATAATTTAAATGTTTAAAAAAATATTTTTTATATATTTTTTTTCCAAAAAGGACCAACAGATCCGTAAACAAGGATTTCTTAAAATATATTTTGAAAGGACCAACAGAGCCATAACCGTGGGATTTTAAAAATATTTTTTAAATGTCGAACAATCCCATGATCGAAATTTCTAAAAATATTTTTTTAAAGGACCAAAGGAGCTTTAGTCATCATGGACCCTTGGACCAATATTCGTGGATTTTTAAATAATAATTTTAAGGACCTACAAACCAAATGCTACTAAATCATTATTCCTGGATCTGTAAGTACAATTTTTTCAAGGGCTTTTAAAAAAATACTCCAGAATATTAAAAGAATATATTTCACGAATTTACTGAACAATATTCTTGGAGTTTTTAAAAATTTTTTAAAGGATTCTTGGACCATTATTTCTGGATTTTTAAGGAAAAATGTTCTAAGGTCTCTTGGACCCATATTCGTGGATTTTTAAAGAATATTTCTTAGAGGACTCCTAGACTAATATTCGCGGATTTTTAAAGAATATATTTTCAAGGACTCTGAGACCAATATTCGAGGGGTTTTAAAGAATATTTTTTTCAAGGACTCTTAGCCCACCAAACGTGGATTTTTAAAGAATATTTTTTTAAGGACCAATGGACCAAAAAACTTGGATTTTTAAAGAATATTTTTTTGAAGGACCAATAAACATGGATTTATAAAGAATATTTTTTCGAGGACCAATGGACCAAAAACGTGGATTTTTAAAGAATATTTTTTTGAAGGACCAATAAACATGGATTTATAAAGAATATTTTTTCGAGGACCAATGGACCAAAAACGTGGATTTTTAAAGAATATTTTTTTGAAGGACCAATAAACATGGATTTATAAAGAATATTTTTTCGAGGACCAATGGACCAAAAACATGGATTTTCAAAGAATATTTTTTCAAGGACTCTTAGACCAACAAACGTGGATTTTTAAAGAATATTTTTTCAAGGACTCTTAGACCAGCAGACGTGGATTTTTAAGGAATTTATTTTTCTAAGGACTCTTAGACCATCAATCGTGGATCTTTAAAGAATATTTTTTCAAGGACCAATGGACAAATAAATGTCAATGACTCCTAGATCAACATTAGTGAATTTTTATGGAATTTATTTTCAAGGACCAATGGACCAATAAACGTGGTTTTTAAGGATTTTTTTTTCAATGACTCCTAGACCAACATTAGTGAATTTTTATGGAATTTATTTTCAAGGACTTAGACCAGTGTTTCTGGAGTTTTAAAGGATATATTTTTAAGAACTCAAACGTGGATTTTTAAAGGATATTTTCAAGGTCAAATGAATCAAAATACGTTGATTTCTAAAGAATATTTTTTAAGGACAAATGGAACAATAAACGTGGATTTTTAAAGGACCTACAGATCAATATTCGTGGATTTCTAAAGGACCTACAGATCAATATTCGTGGATTTTTAAAGGACCTACAGATCAATATTCGTGGATTTTTAAATGACCTAGAGATCAATATTAGTGGATTTTCAAAGAATATTTTTTTCAAGGACCCTCACATAATTATTCGTGGGTTTTTAAAGGACCTACAGATCAATATTCGTGGATTTTTAAAGGACCTACAGATCAATATTCGTGAATTTTCAAAGAATATTTTTTTCAAGGACCCTCACATAATTATTCTTGGATTTTTAAAGGACCTTCAGATCAATATTCGTGGATTTTTAAAGAATATTTTTTTCAAGGTTCTCACATAATTATTCGTGGATTTTTAAAGGACCTACAGATTAATATTCGTGGATTTTCAAAGAATATTTTTTTCAAGGACCCTCACATAATTATTCGTGGATTTTTAAAGGACCTACAGATCAATATTAGTGGATTTTCAAAAAATATTTTTTTCAAGGACCCTCACATAATTATTCGTGGATTTTTAATAGACCTATAGATCAATATTAGTGGATTTCCAAAAAAATATTTTTTTCAAGGACCCTCACATAATTATTCGTGGATTTTTAAAGGACCTACAGATCAATATTAGTGGATTTTCAAAAAATATTTTTTTCAAGGACCCTCACATAATTATTCGTGGATTTTTAAAGGACCTTCAGATCAATATTCGTGGATTTTCAAAGAATATTTTTTTCAAGGTTCTCACATAATTATTCGTGGATTTTTAAAGGACCTACAGATTAATATTCGTGGATTTTCAAAGAATATTTTTTTCAAGGACCCTCACATAATTATTCGTGGATTTTTAAAGGACCTACAGATCAATATTCGTGGATTTTCAAAGAATATTTTTTTCAAGGACCCTCACATAATTATTCGTGGATTTTTAAAGGACCAACAGATCAATATTCGTGGATTTTCAAAAAATATTTTTTGCAAGGACCCTCACATAATTATTCGTGGATTTTTAATAGACCTATAGATCAATATTCGTGGATTTTCAAAGAATATTTTTTTCAAGGACCCTCACATAATTATTCTTGGATTTTTAAAGGACCTACAGATCAATATTTGTGGATTTTCAAAGAATATTTTTTTCAAGGACCCTCACATAATTATTCGTGGATTTTTAAAGGACCTACAGATCAATATTCGTGGATTTTCAAAGAATAGTTTTTTCAAGGACCCTCATATAATTGTTCGTGGATTTTCAAATAATATTTTTTTCAAGGACCCTCACAAAGTTATTAGTGGATTTTCAAAAAATATTTTTTTCAAGGACCCTCACATAATTGTTCGTGGATTTTCAAATAATATTTTTTTCAAGGACCCTCACAAAATTATTCGTGGATTTTTAAAGGACCTACAGATCAATATTCGTGGATTTTCAAAGAATATTTTTTTTAAGGTCCTCACATAATTATTTGTGGATTTTTAAAGGACCTGGAGATCAATATTCGTGGATTTTCAAAGAATATTTTTTTCAAGGACCCTCACATAATTATTCTTGGATTTTTAAAGAATACTTTTTTAGGGACTCTCACATCATTACTCGTGGATTTTCAAAGAATATTTTTTTCAAGGACCCTCACATAATTATTCTTGGATTTTTAAAGAATACTTTTTTAGGGACTCTCACATCATTACTCGTGGATTTTTAAAGAATATTTTTCAAGGACTCTTAAACGAATATTATTGCATTTTTTAAGAACATTTTACCAAGGACTTTTCGTTGCAAAAATTTTCGGAAATGTCCTTAATTTTTTCAATCAGCCATATAATATTGTAAATTTTACATAAAATCCCTTGGATTGCAAACATTCCGGCTATATCAAACCTATCAAACTTGTGCCGTAGCGCCACAACAAATTGTATTTATATTCTGTAATAACTTGAAATATTATTTCCATTTCGTCTTATTTATTTTGTTGAATATTCTCTGGTTGCCAAATGAAAGTTGTTATTGTTTTAGCTTGGAACTCCCCTCTCCCCCCGTTCCCTCACTTCCCACTCAATACTCTTGCACTTGATTTAGGTTCAGCTCACGTACGAAAAACAATGACAAGCGTAAAGTTGTTAGAATATGAGTGAAATATGAACAAGTTGTTCATGTCTGTTAGTCTCTCTGTCATGTCTAAGCATGCCACACTGTCAATGCTGATATTCGTGTGCCACTGGTGATGATGGTGATTGGAATGGCGATGATTGTGATGAGCAGCACACATCGAGTATTCTTAACATTTGAAGCAGTGTTTGACAGTAACAAGAGAAAAAAAACGACATTGCTCATTCACCCACTTGCCCGAGTTCTCTAATATGTATGTCGAAGGCAACAATCGAGTTCCATCCGCTTGCCTGGCCAGGACAGGCTGATAGAATGGCTGCATCATCACGTAAATTATTCAAACATCCTGACTGGAAATGTGTGTTGCAGTATAAAAGCAAGAAATACTGTTTGATTTCAACTTAATTTGCAACACAAAAAACGGAAGGATGTTGGGGGTTTCGCTGGCTACCTATCTATGAACCAACATACCTTCCTACATACATGGCCGTGGGAATAATCAGTTGGAAATTGGTAAGAGGGAAGAAGTAGAAGGTTGGGAATATAGAAATTACAAAATTTGAAAAGAACCATCAGACTACCAATTCTGGATTTTCTTAAAGAATAAATTATGGCGTATTTTCAAAAGATTTTTTTCAAAGACCAAATGCCTATGGATTTTTTGAAGAAAAAATTTTTGGATTTTTAAAAAATAGTTTTTTAAGAATTCTTAGACAAATAAGCGTGGATTTAAAAAAAAAAATTATGAACTCTTTCACAAGTCAACGTGGATTTTTAAATAATACTTTTCAATGACTCTTAAGCAAAAAATATAGAATTTTCAAAGACAACAACAATAAACGTGGATTTTTAAAGAATATTTTTCAAGGACCAATGGGCCAATAAATGTGGATTTTTAAAGAATATTTTTTCAAGGACCAATGGACCAATAAACATGGATTTTTAAAGAATATTTTTTCAAGGACCAATGGACCAAAAATATTTTTTCAAGGACCAATGGGCCAATTAATGTGGATTTTTAAAGAATATTTTTTCAAGGACCAATGGACCAAAAATATTTTTTCAAGGACCAATGGGCCAATAAATGTGGATTTTTAAAGAATATTTTTTCAAGGACC